GGAGCGAACGAAAATTGGAAAAAAAAGCAAAATATTTTTTTCAAGATTTGAACGGGGAAGGCCCGTTGGAGAGCGGGCGTGGATATTAGCAAAAATGATGGAATTTTTGCACGAGACGAATCAAAAGATAATGAATGGTTTGATTTTCGAAACGTGAGGTTGCATTGGGGACAGGGCAGGGCAATTCTTGCTCAGATCTATAGGTGGTATGTGAAATTATTTTTTTTTTGATTTTTGTGAAAGTTCCAAATAGATAAAAGGGATGGTGAAATTCGGATCGTGCATGAACCCACGAAAGCGAGGTTTCAAGAGCCGTGCAAAAGAGAAAAAAACAACAGAAAAATGATATATATATATGCGCGCGCACGCAAAAATGTTCAAAAAAGAGAGGAAAAGAGCTGAGACTGGTGACAAAAAGACTAGCTGCCCATTGTCCTTAGATCACGCGTATCTTACTACGTAGTATTTGTCGATAATTCGGTGATATGTGCAAAAAAACCGAGGTGGTTATCGATAAGAAGGATGTGGATTTGCTTGCATGAGAGGGGTAAAGGTGCGTTCTCCATTTACCCTTTTAGGAGAACGATGCATCGACCCCCGTCTATACTTGCGTGAACAAAGAACCCTAGAACTGAGGTGGTTATCGATAAGAAGGATGTGGATCCGCTTTCATGAGAGGGGTAAATGTGCGCTCTCCATTTACCCTTTTAGGAGAACAATGAATCAACCCCGTCAATACTCGTGTGTACAAAGAACCCTAACATGAGGATGACTCGCCGGAACTCCGTCCGTCCCTCCTTCTCCGGCCAACCATTGTCCCTGTCAGAATGTCCGAAAATTTAAAGCAGAATCAAGCTCTAATACAATTTTAGAACGTCCGGCAGCTTATAGATGGACGGAGACTGCATGCATAGAAAAAGCATATAAATCTCGCAACTAAGCTGCGTGAGATACTTTAATAATCCCTAACCCCAATTACCACTTTGCATTGCCCCTCCACCTTCAGCCATCGGTACCGCCGACGCCACAGAAACAACTGAAGACAAGTTCGACGACCACTTAAGACCGAAAGGGTGAGATGCTGAAAGGATATCTTCTGGTCCTTATTAATTATTAGCTCTACTTGTTTTGACGAGACGTCCTCTTAGAAAATAGTGAATTGAAGACATCAATTGACCTCCTAAGCTAAAAAGGATCCCATCCTAACAGGAATTACAAACTCCTGAGGAACATTTCTACACATGAACATCATCCTCGATAGATGAGCCACATAAACAGCACACACAAATCCCAAGTATACGAGCTTCTGAGCTGGTTTTTTGGCATGCCTATACAGGACAGGAAGTCCTCGATTTCTTTCTTACTTCTGTCATGAGGATTCCACCACGTGATCAAGGAGAGTCCACATCAAGATAAGAGAGCTGGACCCCAAAGGACATTGATAGTTGTGGTGAGGGTCGCACTTTCAAGGAGCAAAGATGGAGATACAGCTCCTTATGGTAGACCCTTTGGCAATCAAAACTTTTAAGGGTATAAATTGATAATAGCGTGTCAATATGCTCGATCTACCAGCTAAAGAAAAACCAGTTCTTGATAAATTTTTGGTGGAGGCTGGAAATAACATGTATGTATAGTAAATCGGGATAAATCTAGTTAAAAAGGAGGTATGATATGACAATCTAAATCGATCTATGTTGGTGAATCTCCTCCGCTTATAGCACTAACATGCAGGTTCGAGGGGTAGTGCTTGTGGTATTGGGTAGGCTAAATATAACCTCGCCCTCGCCAGAGGCCGCGACGTCGCGTCCTTCGCTCTTGTGGCCTTTGGCGAGGGTTGGGGCCTCACCGGCGGCTGGGCGAGGCACGACCTCGCTGGATCTAATGAGGTTGAGCCTCGCCTGGCCCTCGCCAGAGGCCACAAGGTCGCAGCCTTCACCCTCGTGGCCTCTAGCCAAGGCTGGAGCCTCGCCAGTTGCTGAGTGAGGCACAACCTCGCCCATGGCTGGCAAGGCTTGACCCTCATCGGATCTGGCGAGGGCGAACCTCGCCAACCCAATACGAAGCCGCCCTCGCGGCCATCTGGCGAGGGTGAGCCTCGCTAGTGGCCGGCGTGGCTCGCCAGAGGCCGGCGAGGTTGACCTTGCCGGCCTCTGGCCAACCTCGCCGGCCTCTGGCCGGTCGCCAGTCCGGCGATCGGCCGGAGGAAGAGGGAGGGGAGGGAAAAAAAAAGAAAAAGAAAAGAAAAAGTAAAAAAATCAAAAAAATATTATTAAAAGTTATACACGTTAGCGCTAGCTGCCGGCCGGCGTCCACATAAGCAAAATCCGGCTAAAATTAGCCGGAAGGATTGAATTGGCACAAAAATAAAAGGTTTAAGACTCAATTGGCATAAAAAAAAAAGATTTATGACTCAATTGACATAAACGCAAAATGTTGAGGACTTTTCTGACACTTCTCCCCAAAAGTTCACCATGTGACAACGTACTGCACCTAAAAAAAGCTTGGTTGGAATCACACAAATTCCCTACGAAAGAGACCTCAACATGTACCTAAGAATCACAACAAAAATGCCTCGGGATGATCCTAGAAACGTGTGGTCACTATACACAATCTGTCTATTCACTCCAGGACCCACCCTTAGGATCTCACGTGAACTTTGCATGTCCTTTTTTATCGTCCATCTTTCAACCTAACCATTCGAGGTCCTCCACAAGAAGAGGACCTACCAATTCTTGACAGGTCTACATCTTTGGCTAGGCTACATTCTGAGCTCAACTTTGGCAGATCATCATTAGTACATATGGCGAAAAGGGGGAAAAATCTCAAACTTTGGTCCGACTAGGAATGGCAAATATGGGGGATGGAGTTGGCTTTAAGTCGAGTTGGGTAGTTTACCTCACAAGTACCTTGGACTTGTTTCCATATCCGCGATAACGTAACTCAAAGTACTTATGAAGAGCAAAAAAGTCGCTAGTACATGTGTGTAATACGCCATCTGTCATATGAGACTTGGATGAGTAATTTCTTTTTTATTTCTTTAGAAGAAAAGGGATTTGGACGGAGTTGAGATTTACCTAACCCACCACCGAGATGTTTGGTTTAAGGCACCAATGAAGCACCAACTGCTAATTGGGCAAGCACATCACTACAACCCCAATAGGTGCGAGTGGGGACTCAAAAAAGGCAAGACACCTAAACCTAAGTCTACCCTCCAAAGACTAACAAAGGTTTTATGAGATTATGGTAGATTGGGGAATAGAACTTGTGACACTCGACTTGCAAACCAAATATTGAACCATTCGGTTAGGGTAGTTTGGTAACGTGCTTACAAATAGTGAAAATTTCTGTTCTTTTGTTCCGAAATAGTTTGGGAACGTAAATGCGTTGGTAAACTTTTTGTTCCTCGGCACATTTTTGCAAAAATTTGTGCCAGAAACAGTTTGGAAGAGAAACAAGAGTAAAAAAAGTTACTTCTTGTTTCTCGGCCTATTTTGAGAATCGGTTTTTTTCTTTTCTTATTTTGTGGTGTTGTTCTTGGTAGTTGGCCGACCCGGCGACCAGGGCCGGCCCGCCACCGGCACCGGCCACGACCGTGCCGGCGAGGCGTCACGGCCCCTCGCCGGCCGCCGCGCTGAGGCGAGGGTCGCCCTCGCCGCGAGGGCGAGGCCGGACCCTCGCCGCCTGGGCGAGGCGGCCTCGCCCGGATCGAGCGAGGCCGAGGCCTCGCCGTCGGTCGCGACGGCGAGGTCGGCCTCGCCCGGTCTGCAGGCGAGGCCAGCCTCGCAGATCTCACAGCGAGCCGCCTCGCCCGGGCGGCGAGGTCCACCCTCGCCCTTGCTAGCGAGGCGACCCTCGCCTCCGCCGCGCCGGCGAGGTCCGTGACGCCCTCGCCGGCCACAGAGGCGTGGCCGTCGCCGCGGCCGGCGGCCGGCCATGGCCAAAGAAGAAAGTAAAAAGAAAAAAAAATTTAAACAATTCAAAATATTATTAAAATATTATTTGGGAACAAATTTTGTGTAGTTACCAAACACATTCTTTTTTTCTACTCTAGGAATAGAAATTTTGGACATTTATCAAACGCCTCAAATACTTCGGAAATTGTTTAGAGCACGGAATAAAAAAAAATCGTTTACGTTCGGAAATAGCGGGCACGAGAATGGTATTCATGCGCATACTTAGTCTCAAATGGGTAATCTAAACACGTCTTCATGTGTTGAAGATGTTAACATATATGAGCAGATTTATAACTTCTATTTCCTTTTTCGATAATCCAAGGTAACGTAAGTGAAGACCCCTACTACATGGAGACCTACGGAACACCCTGTAAACCTCATGAATCAATTAAGCTCGAACCTTTAGGCCGTACAAGTGGACATGACTCAGAGCACTTCGCATGTAGTTGATGGAATACGTAATGAAAAAAGTAATAAATTTCAGCTTCAAGATATGAAATTTAGTATACCAAAACATAGGAGCTGTGAATCATAATCATACACCGCCCAAAATGCCTAGTGTAGTATCTTTTCCTTGTCCAAACCATCGAAATCTGAAATTTCGCATGCAAATCAAAGTTAATTTTGGGCTGTGGGCACCTGATCTAAGGGTTTTATAATTTAGGCCACACGAAAGGTCAGTGTAGGTCGAATTATAGACTAGCACCGACCCACGTACACATACTGAAAGGACCAAGTAGTGATGACTAGGAGTAGATACTAATTAAGGAATCAAGTAATTTGAGGATCTCTCTTCCGACAAAAGAACAAGGTACAGAAATCATATGACAGTGCGCCAGTTCATTTTGCATGTCTTATAGTGCACCGGAAATCTAGATAGGTCGGGACTAATAATGCTCGACAAGATCACACGAAACTCTTGTTTTTAGTTTCCTAATTGAACACTAATTATGTTCTCCATGCAAATAGTGCGCGTTCGTGACTGAACAGAAGCCCCCTTTTGTGTTGGATGTATTCAAAATAGCTCTATTGCTCATCATAACAACAGAAGAAAAAAGTGGCACCTGTTCGCAATATGATTAACTCGATTCTCTGTTGTTTCTTCATCAAAGTGAAAGCGGTTCAAAAGGCTAAAACGAGAGAAGAAACCCTACTTGTCAAGTACAGGAATAAATGCAAAAGAATACCACTGCCCATGTACCCAACAGTACTATCTTTCCTATGGGTGGAAGAATCGATACAAGAGACAATCGAACACAATCGCAGCGGGATCTAAAATTCCAGGAGAAAAGTTGAAATGCATCTCCCTTCATCTCCTAAACTGCAGCATCCGTAATATGAACATCGGTACAGCAAGCTTCGGCTGGTGACTACTCATCACGTGAACAATTGTGCTTCGCCAAAAAAATGATCTCACTGCTAAATAATGCGTCGGCATGAATGATGCAGAGGATGAATGAACTTGGTTCCTCGTAAGTGTGCTCTTACTCTTTGCTATATTTGCTGAATGAAGTAGGCATATCAAAAGTCATATTTTGTCCTACCACTACTCAAGATGAGGCATAGCATATCGGCTATGTCAGAAGAGGAGCTGAAAAAATTCCAGGACTCGAGCATTAACCGTTTCCTTGATCCTTTGAAATGAACAACCTGTGACCAGCAAACTTTGGGCATCAGAATCGAGTGTTATTCTAACGATTAATGGCATCACACACTTTTTTTTTTTTTGATTTCCCTCGTTAAACGCACTGATCAAGCCCCTAGTCACCTTGACATCAATATAAGTTACTTATGCTCAAGATACCTTAACGTCCAAGGGCATGCCATGGAATTGACCAGCACCTTCAGGTGGTGTCCAGTTGTACATAGCACATGGCAGAAACAGCACAGAGGCACCCTTGATCTCTTTTAAAAAAGATTGCGCTTTGGCAAATCTTTTGGCATCAAAAGAAGCGTCGGATGATACAACCCAAGCAAGAGCCAGTTGGTCACCTAGCATTCGTGAAGCACTGGTATACTTGGAAATGTAGACTTCAAGTATTTGCTGTAGAAAAACCTTTGCCCTGCATTATCATGTGCATCAAAGTTACATGCCATTCTAGTTACGATGCAATAATTAAAAGGAATATCTCCCAATAGCTGCACTCCAAAGAGCAAAGACAAAAAGAGACACGTGGTCCCATTATTATCATCAAGAAATGCTGCAGATGTACGGATAGCGCGTCATAAGTGAGGTATGGAAGTCAATTCCAGGATGTAAGAAATGACAAATCGGTTCATGTCCATCACCTCTCTCTTTTCAAGAGATGTCAGCATGTGTCCACAAGCTTTTTAGCAAAGCCTATAATCTGATGCAAGTTTCTTGATCGTTCTGCTAAAAAATTAAGCTTTAATGCAAGAAGCCCAACGATGTACTCAAATATGTTTCTTACGAGGCAAAAAAGCAATTATCAGCAAAAAAAGGCTATAGGTGATGTACGTTCTAATGAAACAGGAATGGGAGCAAGTCCCTTGATGATGAGTCAGAATTACAATTGACATGGAAGTTGTGAATGCAAGTGACGTAATAAATGCATAGCATAGCAAACATATACATGCTTGTTGCCTACCTACTCATTCCGTCATAGGTACCCCTCACTGCTATAAATCCCGAATTAAGAGGTTGTTGTTTGTTGTTCCGAAAAGTCAGGGCCAGGTGAAAATTTGGGTAATCACGAAATACTTGGCCAAGATCATCAACAACCGCCATGTCTGAATCAACGAATATGTAATTATGCATATGATCCTGCGAATGGTCCTCAAGCTTTCTTTCTAGGAAGGCCTGACAAAAGAAACAAGAGAAAACGTCACTTCTAAAACATTCTTCGCCATCTGATCAAATTACAAACTGGTGCAGAACTCTATGATCAAGGATGTCCAGAAAATGGCAAAAGGTTGGATATAAGTCAAAGTGCCTACCTCCTAATAGATGATTCAACAGGTCAGCATACAAGAGAGGTGCTCCACTTTAACATTAGAAAAAAACAGTTCTACCAATCCCTATTGGGGTATTTATCTTACATTAATAGAGAAGAAAAATAATACTACTGCATGCTATCTGATTCAAAATGCTCTTACAATGTAAGACCTGATTCTTTGAAGCATCAACTTGTCTCGGGAATATTCACCTTGAATAGGATAGATAGAAACCTTGTCTCTGTTTATTGAGAGGTCAGATGCAGGATCTGTAAGAATGATTACATTACTCTGGGGCATAGCCACCTGGAACAAAAGTGAAATAAGCAAGCTCAGATTCCATTAATGGATGCAACAGGGCTATAAGGCTCTTTTGCAGAAATATTCAAGTTCCATTGTTATCCTTATGCATCAAATGGAATTAGCTCAAAAAAAACTTTACATTGCTGAATTGGTGATTATCTTCTATCAGCCAAATGACCTTTCCATCAAAGATAGACAATACAGAAACAGTTTACAAGTAGTACAAGGAAAAGAAAATGAAGCTTCATTCCATTAAAACTCCTGAAGATGACTAAATGAGACTGATGAGTAACTCAAACAATAACTGCTTTCTATTTCGCTGCGGTTCTGCAATCTCTCTAACTTAAGGTTATTTTAAGTTCTCAGAACTCTACATCCTGGAGATACATACTTGTTGGATCTCAAGTAATATGCCCCACAAATGAATTTCCCCACATATGGATCAGCCAAGTTTGTCAAATTAGATGTCAGGGAATTCAGTCCATTCTTTTGCCTTCAAGATTTTGCCACTGAAATAAGATCTGAAAACTAGAGAGTGTAATATCTGAAAAGCAAGAGTGCTCCGTGATAGAATTTCTAAGAAAAGTACACTAGAACTCTTAAACTAATTGTATGGAACACATATCAGTCCTATTACTGTTTGATGATCATTTAAGTCCTAAAACATTTTGAAACGGTTCGATCCAGTATATTTAGCATTTTATGAGAAAACAAACAAAGGTTCTTTTAATCCAAAATTTACACTCCATGGCTGCTGGCGATGTTGGGACCTCACCAACATGTCAAACAATGTTGTTGAGCTTCACTTCTTTAACTAAATTGATATGTATCAGAAACCTCATTCCCTAATTGCGTAGAAAATCCATAATATGCAATTTCCAGCTCAAACCTTTCTCTTGGATCAACAAACTCGACCACGAGCACCTCACAAGCCTAAAAACTTCCACTGCATTCTGTACCCTTATCGATGATGACCACGAAATCAACAAAGCCGTTTTTACCAAAATACCAGTAATATTACCACTACCACTACCACCATCAACAACAACAATACAGCCACTAAAGCTCCATCTAAACATAAAAACCTCAATTGCTAAAACTTACAAAGCTTTGTAGACTACGAAGAAATCAGCCTCCTTCTCCTAATAACCCTTTTCTCTTATCCTCTTCATCTTCTTGCCACAAAATAACTTGCCTAAAGGACCATCAATCATTGACATTTTGATGATCTGAACCAACTTGGAGCAAAATAAGTTCTGAATTGGGATAATCAAGTCAAAGATCTATAGGGATAAGGTTTCTGTGGGTTTGTGTATGAATCGAATTATAAACTTATTTCTTGATTTGGGGGAATATTGAAACCAAACAGCGGTGATTATTTTGGTCAAATTGGGGAAAGATTCCTCCAACAACCACATATGACAATTCATATAGAATATGTAAGGGAATGTTTGAGAATTTTTGGGACTGATATACCCCAAAAATAGTTTTAGAACTTATACTGTACGTTTCTGCTGAATTTCCACTATGGCCGAAAACATGTGATGGAAGAGGGATTAAATTGCATGTTTTTCCTTTCACTTGGAAAGTACATGCACATTTTGTTGTTTTCTTTTATCTTCTGTGTTTTTGTTGTTCTTTCTGACAAGTACAGCCTACAGTTACACATCATTCAGTATGTAAAACATAAGAAAACAATTTAACAGGTACAAGGAAAATATCGAAGATAAGAGAATATAATACAGAGTCCAGTTCACATTTAATGAAATTATGAGGTATTGCTCAGATATAAAGAAAATTTCAATCATTTATGGTGACTGGAAACAATTTAGAATAATTTACACTTTTTTTTTTGGTTGAAAGAATAATTTACACTTATACACATCTATTGATGCTTTAAATATACTAAACAGAGTTAATATTCGATAAAACATACGGAGTGATTCATGTATGAATAAAATATCCTCTGTCACTCAAAATATTACCTGAATAAAGTTGATGAATACATTCAAGATGGCTATTGATCTCTCCACCTTATTATATGAGGAATTTCCAACAGTTGTCACATCTGATGATCCACTAGTCTTTGACATGTCGGAGGAGTTATAAACCGTAAAGACAGTGACAAAAGCTATGCTTTCCTTGACATTGCTTTTGCTGGATGAGGCAGAAAAATGTGTCTTGTTGAGAGCTTTTACACCTAAAAGACACATAAGTAGGAAGAAGAAAAAGCAGACTGCATTAGCGTAAGGATACCTCATTATTCACAGCAGAATCTACAATTACAGTTGGAATATCATCAGGTTCCACATCAAAGGAGATCAGAAGATGACCATGACATAGATCAGTTGATTTGGTGCTATGTTGTTCTATATATACATGTTTATTCAGAAGTTAAGTGACAGCTACTGCAAAGAGATTGCCAAACACTAAAAGGCTTGTCATGCTCGTTCCTTTTCTTCCCTTTACGGAGCCCTTTCCAATGAAGCAGTCCTGAATGTTGCTATCTAATATGTACCCGTAAGTTTTCTCTAAGGAAGCTACACTGTGCAAACTCGGTTATAGGTGTGATTGCAGGTAAACGTCTAGGTGTTCGAACCATCTAGTATCTAGCGATGCAAAACATGGATTCAGTACACAACCATATAAAACTTGTATATTCAGACTTGGATGTGTAAAGTATGAATTTCTCTTAGAATGCAACATGCGCGTAAATGACTTCATGGTTTTTTTGAGACACCATTGTCCTTCTTCATGTTTTATGATACAATGGTTTAGTATTCTACCAATTAAACACGTTTGACTTTGAGATGAAGTGTCCTTGTATCCACATGCAGCCATGTCATACATGTTAACATGACTAACTGATCCCGACAGACGATCCAGAGTATTACGGCAAATTACTTTCAATATACTGTTTATGATTACCAGAGAAGAAGCAAAACAGTATAGCACTATTGTGCCAATACAACTCCACAACATATTCACCAGTATATATATATGTGTGTGTGTGTGTGTGTGTGTGTGTGTTTGTCCATGTTAGACCCACCTCCATCCAGTTGGGACATGGGTTGCTTTGGAATGCAGAGAATTCATGAGCTACAAAAGTCCATTTAACAAAGTACATATCAAATTCATATTCCTCAGTTCTCTCTTTTTCTCATGCTCTCTGCTAAAAACTGAATTTAGCAACAAATCATATCCAGACACGGAAAATTTGTTCAGACACTGAAGTTTCCAAGCCTTAAAAACAAAAATCCAACCTCGGCATTGCAACCGGTCACGCAAGCCTCGACCCGCCGCAGGCCCGAGAACCAAATGATCGAACTTGCTTCTCCCTCCCTTGTGCCGATCTTCCGCTCTCGGTTCTTGATGCAATTCCATCACTGAAAACAGGGAGCCGAAAAATTTACACGCCGTCCTCGTCCGAAACAAGGGTCGGTCAAAAAGAACAAAACCGAACGCGGGGGGAAACAGGGACAGCAAGCAAAAACTCGCCCCACCCGAGAACAGATGAGGCAAGAAGAAGACGAGCGGGAGGCAGAACACCAGCCGCCGCCACCGCCACCGCCCGCCGCCGCCGCACAATCTCATGGCTCCCCCAGATCGCTTCCCCAAAGCTGGTAGTTCAAGCAGCTTCGACGCCCGAACGGACGGGAACCCCCCCGACACGACACGGCAGTTCGAGGGAGAGGATCAATGCAGCACCTTGGGATGAGGAGCAGATCTCTGGTTCTCCTCCGCACGAGCGAGACACAGACAGAGAGAGAGAGAGTTGGGCCGAGATGCACTCGCGAACGGTGACGATGGAAACGGGGTTTTGCTCGCTCGTGGATCGAACCCGTCAATTTTCATATAACGTCTATCAATTTTTTTTATTAATATTTTTTAAAAAATTAATATCACGAAAACCCCAAATTAATATGTCTGTTATAAATTTACCTTCAATTAATTTTTATTAAATTTTAATAATAAATTTCTGAGTTGGATGACACGTGTTAGTTAATAGATATATCAATTTGGGATTTTACTTTCCGTTTGTCATAAATGTATAAATTTATGATTTTTCGTGATATTAATTTAATTTAATAAAAAAAATTATCATAAATATAATAATTTTGAGATTTTAATGGTGAAAAAACTAATTTGAAATAACTTAGTCGGGCTGCTTTCCGATTTCACAAAAGGACAATGATTCGCCCGGTCCAATTTCAGGTTTCAAGTCGGGAATCGACCCGCCATCCTATGGACAACAAGGACAATCTAGGCAGCATCAGCTGAGCAGCTGAACTTGGCCCCAAATGAAAAGCGTGTCCACCTTCACACGCACACTCTTGTCTCTCTTTCTTTCACTTCCGTCGAGCTCATTACAATCACAGCCTGTGATCAGTCCGAGCTGACAACCCGCCGCGAAAGGACCCGACCGCCGTCGTCTCGCCGTCCGGACTTTTTCGCGACAACCAAGTTCGGGTAAGTTCGTTCCCCCTTCCAATCCTCGGTTTCTTCGAGCTACGACGCCACCGTCTGCCTGCAATTCTCCTCCCTCTCCTCCTCCTCCTCCCTCTCCGGCTTCGCTTCTGGGTAGTTTAGATTTTGGATGGTCGGTGCGATTTTGACTTGGAATGGGGCTCGGAAGCTCGAAGGCGCTCTCGTGTGCGGTGGGATTAGAGTTGCTTGCGCCTTTTTGGCGTTGCGAATGAGAAGAGCGGTGCGAGAAGAAGGGTTCGGTGAAATTTTGAAATTTTGAACTGTTCTTGCGAACCTGGAACGAGAGAGCTTTGGGAGTCTGAGAGACGTTTGTGCGAATTGATCTTGGGCTTCCTTGCTCTTCATGGATGCTTTAAGTGTACTTAATGGCTTAGCTCAAAAGCTTTAGGCATGATCACTGAAGCGAAAGCCTACAAAATGTCATCTTTCTTTGTGGACATCGTGCAAGCACATCCGAATTCTTTCATTCGGATTTTCTGAATCCTGTATCATGATCCCTTTTTAGTATTTGGGTCCTCGACAATTAACATTTGGAGTTCGACGAGATAATTGCGGTTACTTTTTCACAAAAGACAGTAGCTATGTGTGGCTAAAGCTTTCCCTGTACTGTCATTTGACAGCTGATAGGCGAGTCTCCTGACTGTGATGATAACGCTTTGAATCTGGACCTTATGATTTGTTTCTCCCTTTAATAAGTCCTCTTGCCTTTTGTATTTAGTGAGGAGATCTGGCTTCTTGTGCGCACCATTGTCCTACATGAGTTTCAGCACTTACAACAGCTACATTTTGGATCATAATCCCGTAAAGCTAGAGAAAAGGAAATTAGTTCAGCTGTATGAGGAGCCGTTCTTGATAGTTGATACAGAGTATAAGAAGTTTTTGTGCCCTAGATAAACAACCTATTGGAACCAAAGGCTCTAGCGTCGATGAGGCAACAGATGAAAGCATAATTAGAAGAGCAATACATGCCGTATTCTCTTGTAATAGTGTATGAAAGAGTTTTATACTTCAAGAAAAGGGCAAGATATTTGTCCTGGTAAATGTGGGTGGTGCTTGAAGCTAGTGAACTATCTTCTGCTCTAAAATTTAGGTACCATATCCAACCATGGAAAAAATCTCTTTTCTAGAAAACCTCATCTTAACCTTTGTCAAATTTGATAAAATTCTTCCTAGTTCAAGAAAATTGCACCAAAAGTCTTAAACTTTATGTACAGGGTTCAATCAAATCTTAAACCTTTTAATCAATGTAATTAAGTCTTAAACCTTTACTAGAAATAAAAAAAAATGATTTGGATTTAGCGTATCTCGTGTTGAAACTACAACATTGCCCATTTATGTTAACCTCAAGTGCCGCGCCCTCCAACTTGAGGGTGGAACTAGGGGCGGTAATTTCTAACACGACATGATAACATGATTCGAACACGACATGAGTTAGCAAATTCGGGTTGAGGCTAATTGTAGATAGGTCAACGTGAGACATGATTCATTATTGTGTTGTGCTCATGTCTGACCCGTCAGATAAGAAGTTGACTCGTTTAACCCGTTTAAATTAATGGGTTCGTACCGATGCAACCTGTATTTGAACCCTTTAGATATGATTAGGTTATTTTGTTGATTTTAAACTTGTTTTTTAATTTGATTTGATGATATTTTGTTGATGGGTATTACAATTTGTAAATAGATTTTATGAAAAATTGAGGATTTCGTGTCGAGTTAGTGTAGGTGGGTTGCATTTGTGTCGACGGGTTAATTTCGTGTCATGGAGGGTCATACAATCGTGTCTACCCGTCAACTCGCTATTTAATTGAGTTACACGGGTAGTGTCATGTCAATTTGTTAACTTTCCGTTTGGGAAGGATCATTTCAAGTAGGTTGACATGATTAACTAATTGCAGTGTGTTCGGGTTGACATGTTTATTAGCGTAACCTTTTGTCGACACAAGCTGCAAACGCGAATGCCACCTCTAGGTGGAGCCTTGCTAGGTGCATGTGGCCGGGGCAGTTTGCATTTATCTGTGGGGATTAGTCAAGCCGCAATGTTCGAATACCTCGTGTCATAAATAAAATGCAATGGAATTCTAGAAGTTTCAATTGGGGCAATCATAGCCATTATTAAAGAGTGCAACCAAGTCATAAATCTATATCAAAAAGTTCAAATCAAGGTTGCTGCGTATGAAATTAGAATGCCACGTAGACAAGTATTGATACTTTTTATTGAAAAAAATTGATTGTTTTTTTTTCTTTTTTTGAGAAAGATTTAGGAATTGGTTGCAAATATCGAATAGTTTAGGACTTGATTTCATCCCACACACAAAGTTCGGACTTCTGGACCATGTTTCCGTCCGAATAAGCTAAAGTCACTTTTGTTGGTAGTGTTTAGAGCATTACAATAAACAAAATTGTGGTTTCCACAATTCGCTTTTATTGGTTTGATTTCAATGTTAAATGTCAACCTTGATGGACTTTTGGCTCTTGCCCTGGCTATGTCTATTTATTTATGGGGTGTATATACTTGAATTGTGCCCTAAGCGGCCATGTTTTCAAACTTCATTGATTGCGATGTCTGCACATGCAGGTCTTTGCTTGATGATGGCAGCTACTGCAATATCGCCCCATATTCCAGCCAACATTAAATCGTCATCTTTAAAATATCCGTGGTCAGGAGTTGCAGTTGTTGGCCTTGCAGGATGCTTTCATACAGCTGCCTATGCATTTGGCCAGAAACTTTGTTCCCAGTTCTACTCCTTCCATGTAACCCGGCCTTCATTGGTGAATGATTTCAAGTAATTATATGGCAATGTGTATTAGCGCAAGTAAATGTGATAGTGTCTCTTCTAGATAAGTTGAGGAGTCTTTGATATGGCTGCATCTGATCACTTATGAGCAAATGATGTTGCATGATTACGCTGTCACGCCATAGTTAATTTTCAAGACTGGGAGATGGTTGACTATACATTTCTGTTGTTGCACATCGGGACGTTATCTTAGGCAATCTGTCAGTTAGAACCCAGTATCTTATGCTTCAGGACCTAGCCTTGGGTTGTTTTTAGCACAACCCCATGTGCACAGGAGAAGTCTGGAGAGTGGTGGACTTCTGAATTTCCAGTAGACCTTGTTAAAAAAATTGCACATCTGAGAGTTCTCTATTTGGCTACGTTTTTATTTGAAGTTTGTATTTCTTGTTTTTACCATAATGGCAAAGCACAACATTTTTCTTTTTTTTTTTTTTTGTTCTGTTTTAACATGATGTCATCTTTTGTGAAATAAATTTGTGGACAGGAAGTTAAGAGCACAGTTGCATGATTTGATTAGGTTGCAAATGGTTCAGTAAAGTTTTTCATTAGTGGACTAAATGTAATCTTCAAAGAGATTCAATTTGCTCTCCTGTTGGGGAAGCTTGTTTGCATCTTTCTTCTCCCACGAGAAGAGTTTGCCCCGTTGTAGGTATTTATTTTCTTGGGTACCCACATACAGCACTGTGTTTAAGATTAATAAAGTGAAGCATATTATGTTGACGAGACCCTATGTTATGATATTAAAATGTCTTTTGAAAAGAGAGAGAACTCAGTGACCCATATATCCGTAGCACACGAAATAGGTTTTAATTTCAATCAATGATGTGTTAGATTTTGAGCTAGTGATGGGGGTTATCTGCTCCAATATAGTAATTTTCAAGGTGACTTTACATGTAGTAGCATTCTCTTAAACGTTCGGAAAAGTTACACGCATGTTTCCCGGTTATTGTGGTCACAAGCAAAGTAGAAGCATGTCTCAATATTGTTTGAGTCTTGACGTTGAGTGTGCTCTAATTTTCAGTTAAACTGTGCAGAAAGATGACCTGGTCCATTCGGAGTAGTGCGGATGGCAGAGGATTGGATTTCGATCCTTCTGCAGACAGCACAAATGGCACGACCCGATTGATAAGGGCAATTCGAGACTTTCAAAATAAACTTGGTGCCAAAGTCCAAGAGATCAGGAAAAATTTCCCTATGAAGTTGTTCTTTTTCTTGGTGGGCTTTTACTGTGCAACAGCCTTCGCAACTGTCATCGGGCAAACAGGGGACTGGGACATTCTATCTGCTGCCTTAGCTGTAGTGGTTGTCGAGGGAATTGGAGCTCTTATGTACAGGGCTTCTCTTCCTGTATTCAGCCGTGCTCGAAGCCTTATTTCCATGTTTAATTACTGGAAAGCTGGGCTTTCCCTTGGCCTCTTCTTGGATTCGTTTAAGTACTGAAAGGACGACGCAATTGGGTTCCACGCGGCCCTTCATATTACATATGGATCTGGTTCTTGAGTTCCAGTTGCGGAGATGCAAAGATTTCTGCTAGCCGGATGCATGAGGCACCAGAGCAGGTTGGGAAGTATATTCATTCAGAGCAATTCACCTCTTGAATGACGTTCTTCCAAACGAGAAACTGAGAGAACAAGAACTTTAAATTGGCTGGCAAAAAAGTCCAGAGAGTTTTAGCTTTACGTTGGAGAATAGAAGAGCATGCAATTTGACTTGAATCACCATTCCCCAGCAGATTCTAGGTGGATTGAATCTCCTGGTGGTGGGTGCCTCCCGAATCTCTCTGAAATGAAGAAATTCGCTTTTTCAAGTGTTCGAGGATGGAAATAACCACCTCGCGATTATTTTGCAGCTGGGGCTTCATACATGAAAAGTGAGGAATTTTTTACTGAAATGGCTGTGGTTATCTAACTTTGTTACTGAATACTGATCACGTGTTTCCAGTTCATATTCCCCATACTGAAACATCCTGATATAGTTACTAAACCTTTCCTATTGCTTTCTCACAGCAAATGTAGAGGCTGAAAGAGATGACAATTGCACTGATGAAGTATTGTTTTTTTATTTTTTTTATTTTTTGGTCTCACTCCGTTCTCTCACTGTGCTACTGTGCATGTTTCACTGGGCTCGTTCCCCAGTTGTCGTCTTGACCCCGACCCTCTACCACCAGGCCGCGTGCTCGGCTGCAAAGTATGTTGTTTTCAAGCATTTGAGTTCGTCGCACTTATAACAGGGCAAGACAGTTGCTGGCTTGGGTTGAGATCACTGTAAAACTATGTAGCTTGCCTAGTTGCTTATGTCTGCTTACACGATCTATTGCATCTGTATGCCGACGGATCCGAACCAAGTAGAAGCTCTACATATCCGTCACCCGAACTACAGACTAAGTTGGATCATGGACTCCAGTGTTCGAGACTGGTAAATTGCCATAGACGATGATAATCTCTCGGAAGTGTCGGTGAATTTGGTGGTAGTAACTTTAGTTATTGTGTTGGTAACTTCCCCGAATGAAAGTTTCCGAGATGGGTTGGTTCCTACTGGGGCCGTCAAAAATGCCCGGACCAACTCGGCCCGGACCGGACCAGACGGATTCGAAATCTTCGGGTGTTTTCAGGCCGGGTCTCCTTCCCAGGAGCGCTTGACGCGCCGAAAACGGCACGATTGCAGAGCTTAACCAAAACGCTTCATACGTACAGAAGTTCCCATTATCACTCTCCCACCCGAAACGGCGTGACGTCGGTTTCCATTCCCACCCACTTAGAGCATCAAAAGGTCCACATCATTTTTGCACTCCCCACTTTCCAAACCAGAGATCATCGTACCATACATAATAATAATAATTCAAATGTAAATCAAACCCTAACACAAAACATCATGAAGAGGGCTCGCGCTCTTCCGGTCGACGTCGACGTCGTTGCCGCCGCTGCGGAGAGGGAACAATTGGAAGGTTTGTGAGTCCTCCTCGCACTCTCGGCCGCCGCCTTTGGCCAGATTGGACGAAGGAGCTCCTGAGGTTATGAGCCTTGATGAACTTTGTCAGGGTCCATCTTTTAGCATTTGCTGACTCGGCATTTCACTTCGCAACGTCACCGTTCGCTCCAGCTCTCGTCACCCAATTCACATTCTTTAAAGAGGGATTCATGCATGAACCAGCCCGTATCGACCAGATTAAATTTAGTACTTGCAAAGTCTAACGTCAGTAATTGACCATAGTGCGTAATATGGATCCGAGCCTAGACAAGAATTTATTGTTCTTAGAATGCCAAGTGTCAACATCTAGTATGCTAATCATGGCGTGTTTCGTGTTATGAACTCTGTTAGTTTGCTCAACACAAGCTATTTCGTAATTGTTGTGATAAATTATTGAGCATGCAATGTTCCAACAGGTCAAATGGTCCCTGAACTTTTCCAATTATTTGTGTAATATTATTCTTGAATTTTTTTGGTTTGCAATGAATTGAAAAATCAAATGAATATGCTGATGAGCTCGTGAAATGGATGTTAATTGTCTCATTGGGATTCTATGTGGTGCATCAAACTTAGAAAAAAATAAATACAAAATATTATTATTTATGATTTGTTTTATGGATAAAGCAAATTTGAAAAAGAAAATCTCTCGAGACGAGGAGACACGTGGCATAAGTGACTTGGAGTCGCAAGGGCGGCGAAGGGTGGTGGTGGCGGCACTACCCAGCCACCAGCAAGGGTGGTCGAATCCTCGCTAGCCTAAGGTGACGAGACCGCCGAGCCCAACACATGAACAAACACACCTGGGAGAGAGAAAGAGATTGGATGATGGACAGGTAGGTGAAGGTTGCGGCAGCCTCGCCACGAGTCGGCAAGGAGTGTTGAGTTGATCCTGCCGCTCACAATGGCGAGGGCGGCGGCCCTTGCCACAATCGCCCGGCCCAGACCTACACCAAGGGTCAAGACTCTTAGCCTCAAATCTACGACAAGGGGGGTTGCAGATTCGCCTCCACGCGACGGTGAGGTCTATCCAGCCTCGTCCAAATATCTGTCCCTCCTCCTCCTCCTCTCAATTCGAGTAATGGGTTCGTGGGTGATCATAGGCCGCGGCGGCGATCCCCTTCCAGCCGCCGGCAAGTGTCGCTAGATCGGCGGCTTGGCGACATTACTATTGCCGCCATCCCCCCACCCTTCTTCTACACCTCTCTCTATCTTCCTTATCTTTTTATGTTTGGTGTTTTCTTATCCATCGACCTTAGTCTGCCCTAGCAATAATTCGAAAGGGGGGATAGCGCCAATGCGGCACGGAGATGGACGTCATCTCGGCATTTTCTGTCCAAGTCTCCGGCGGATGCGGACAAACAATACGAATTTCAAGGACCCAAATTGCACACAAAAAAAAAGAAAAAAAACCAAAGACGGCGTAATTATTTTTTTACTGCTAGAAAATCCGAAAAGCGAAAAATGGATAGAGATGCTGACTCCATTTCCATAAAAGAGAAAATACAATAGAATAAAATAGAATAAAATAAAAGTAATTAATTTTTTTTTAGCGCGTCTTTATCGTGTAATCGCGGGATACACGAACGGACATTCCCTCCCCAAACCCCACCCGATAATCATATTTTAATTAGGCTTAATTATAAAATCATTCTATTAACAACACCGTTTTGTTTTTTAATTTTTCGATTTTCTTTTTTCTCGCGTCTCGGCAACTTGTTTTAACTTCGCTGCCTTCTTCTTCATCAGTAGCTGCATGGCGTCTCCTATAAAACCCAGAAACCGTCGCTTCTCCTTCTGCGCTCCTTCTTCCGTCGCCGGCGCGTCCGTACGTTCTTCTTCTTCTTCTTCTTCTTCTTCGCTCGCTCGCTCGCGGCTTCCGCTCTCCGCCGTCCGGCCCTGAGGTACGGAGCTCTCTCTGTCTCTCTCTCGCCGTCTTTTGCCTTCGTGTTGTGAGCTGCTGCTGCTGCTGCTGCTCCTCGGTTTTCCGCCGCTTGGTCGGAATTTCGCGGCGGCGGCGAGGTTCGCCGGGAAAATCTGGGAGCTCGTTTATCCAATCTGTGTTGTGGAATGAGGAGAAGAGTACGGAGAGGTTAGCTCGCTTCTGATCGATTAACAGAGAGAGAGAGAGAGTAGTTTTTGTGTCTGTCTATAAATATGGAATTGGTCGCTTCAGATTATTGTCCCTGCGTGAGATTGGGACGCTGAAATGGTGGAGTTGGTATAAGCGACTCGAGGAAGTGAGATTTGTTGATCTTACTTTTCAAAACGATTCGACGGTTTTCACAGTGTCCGACCGAGCTATGAGGTGCGCTTTAGCTATATACTGGCGATTCCCGTCTTATAAGCGGCTGTGCTGTTGCTATTACGGTGTTGTCGTCGTGCCCTTGCCTGTTCTTTTGTGTTGAAATCCTTGGATTTTAGTGAATGAAAGCGTATATTAGAAGTCCATATCCTTTATTGGGTCAAAGAGGATCTTGTTTGTAGCGGACGACAGGGGCGTAAATTAATTTTCCCTCCTTTCTGTAAACTTTTGTGGTATTGTGAAAAAAAACAATGTGCAAAAATGCCGAATTTGCGGCTCCTGGCTATTCAATTTGTAGGTGTACAACTCTTTGTTGCCGAGCAGGTGACTGTATCTTCAGTTTTGGGTATTTCAGATATGTCGACTATAGCGCGAAGAGGAGTTCATTACTTGCATAAGCTCAATGCTGCAAATGTTCCCGCTGATTTGATCGAGAAAGGCCAAAATCGTGTGATAGATGCTTCCCTTACGCTTATTCAAGAGAGGGCGAAGTTAAAGGTATATGTTCTACATTGTTCATTTCTAACTGTTAGCTCTTGAAACATGCTTTTTTTATAAGTTACATTCAGACTGGTAGTGACAATGGTGATAGTGCTTGTTAATGTTTTCATTTGTTCGTGAGGTGACTTTGTCAATGAGACCTGCTGCTATGGGAAGTGTCAAATATGAGTTTTCTAGTGTGCAAGAAAACATATTGTTCTAAACTTAAAATAATTTTTCTGTAGGGAGAGCTCGTGCGAGCTTTAGGAGGTGCAAAAGCTTCAGCATCTCTACTGGGAGTTCCTTTGGGTCATAACTCGTCATTTCTTCAGGGGCCTGCATTTGCACCACCGCGTATAAGGGAAGCCATTTGGTGTGGTAGCACGAACTCGGCAACAGAAGAAGGTTATCATTATTGTTTTTGTTGGATATGGGCAATGAAATGACTCCATGATTTTTGTAATTGGTGCTCATGAAATTCAGAAAGCTCTTCCTATAATTGAAACAGCCACGAACACACACTGCCTTATATTGATCCTGGCATCAGTATAGGAGTATCTGATGACGAAAAATTGTGGACTGTAGCAAAGAACATTTCTTCCATTCATCAATAGCGTGAAATAAGACTTATCTCAGTTATTATTAGCAGCAAGTGATGTCTAGTCTTATAAAAACAAGAAGATAATTTTAATCTGATTGTGCACTTGTATCATCTAATCATAGGAAAAAACCCTTATCAAACTTAATCTGATACATAGTAACGCTTGGGTGTAAACACCTTACCACTGTTGCTGAGATTGTTCTGCTATTTCAGGGAAAGAACTGACTGATCCAAGGGTGTTAACTGATGTTGGTGACGTTCCAGTTCAAGAAATTCGGGATTGTGGAGTAGATGATGATAGATTGATGAATGTCATCAGTGAGTCGGTCAAATCAGTGATGGAAGAGGTAAGTGATTTTGTGTCCCTTGAAGTTGTCTGGACTATTCTCTGTAGGGACCTTTTTATTCACTCCGTTGCACTTGCATTATGCAGTTACTCTTGTGGACACTTGCTTTCTCTAAGTTGGATGTTGTCTCTTCACTTGACTCATAAAATAGCATTTTAGGGTTGCCAAGCTCGTGCTGTTCCGTATGAGTAGAGATCTATAGCTTCTGATTGTCCTACTTTCAGTGTTAGCTCTTGTTAACTTGCGATGCTGGAAAGCAACATGATAGAATATCAAAATATACTAAGAGTGATTTTATCATATAAGCCTTTGATGAAATTGCGATGGCTAAAAAAATTAGATTGTGAAATCTATCTTAAACCTTTGTTTCCATTTTATTTGAGTTCACATGCCACAGACTTGGATTAATTGCCTCTTATGTCAAATTTCACTCAAGTGCGGATTTGATTTTCTGAAACTTTATTTTTCTTGATGGAAGCAATTTTATTTCACACTCTCCAGCTATAGCCAATTTTCGTACATTTCACTTTCAAATTGCAATCATAATATTTTTCTGTAAGCTCATCCTGAATTTATGAACCTATGTATTGTAAACTTAAAATCCCCTACTTTTGTACCGCAAGATGGCTCTGTTTGGATGCCGATCTCTACTACAGAGCAAATTGAGCTTTGTGGAAGATCCTCGACCTTCTAATTGGTCCAGGTTACCGTAGAATTTTGGTGGTGCATCTAATTTTCCTCAACTAAGTTTATATATTGTTTGGCATCTTTCGTTTCTTTGCAGATTATTGTAGCCCTTAACTAGATTATTAGTCGTGTTAGTCATCTTTCACTTCTTTGTAGATAATTGATTGAGCAGTCTTGAGGTCATTAGCGACGGGCAATGAACTTCAAGATAGCATTTTCTGACCTATGCGTTAAATCCTCTGTAATGGGCTAGTTGGGTTGGTAAATTCCTGCTCTTTTTAGACTTGCTGGAATAATATTATGAAATACTTGGTTTCTAGTTTATTTTCCATAATTGTGGATGCCTACTTCTTGTGTAATGAGTTCTTTAGTGTGTATGCTTGGAGAATTTGGAATTTGCTTATTTGTCTGTTTAAAGGATACCCTTTCTCCTTTGTCGATGGAACACGCTCACTGAGGTGAAATTTTGACCGTATTATTTTCCCTTTTCAACATAATCATGGCCATAATGAAAAATTCAATTGGCTTGGCAGTTTAGGGTTTTATCACGAGATAATACTTTAGGTAGTTATGATAACATTACTGATCTGACTTCTTCTGCTCCTGATATGTCAGGATCCACTGAGGCCGTTAGTTTTAGGCGGTGACCACTCAATATCATATCCGGTTGTCCGAGCAGTTTCTGAGAAGCTTGGGGGACCTGTGGACATTTTACATTTGGATGCCCATCCTGATATTTACCATGCTTTTGAAGGAAATAAATACTCACATGCGTCTTCTTTTGCGCGAATTATGGAGGGTGGTTATGCACGACGTCTTTTGCAGGTATTTACTTATTTGTCTGTTTAAAGTTGTTTAATGTCCAGCCTGTGCCCAGTGGATAAAAAAAACCTGGTGCTGGCTAGTATTATGTACTACAAATACAGAATAAACTTCAGCTGCCTGTGGTCAGAGTCATGGCATACATTTCTACAAAATTTATCATTTTTGTAGCGGGTTTGGGTACTTTACTTCAATAGTTGCATCTAAGCAATTTGAGGAACTGCATCTGTAATAATTTACTTCAGTAGTTTTGCGGTGTAGTTTATTTTGTCTTCCAGGGGTTGAAATCAGTTTACGTTTTTGGCTTTGATAGAGGAGAGTTTGGTAATGCCATTCTCATTGGACATTGGTTGTACCTACCTCTTGTACTTGTACTTTCATTTCATCCACTGAAAAGTTTGTAGCAAAACTAGAGAAGTCTTTTAAAATTGGATTCTCTAAAATTTAGAAACATCCTTTTGAAAGTAGGATTTCCAGTCTCCTTTATATGGTAAAGGGGCATGTCTGAGAATTGTTATTATATTTCGGGCTTATTTATTGACATTGTGTGCAACCTAATTACGCAGATTAATTTGCTGAGAGAACATAGATTTGGTAATTGATAGAAGTAAATTGGTTATGCTCCTTTATTGCATTTAATTGGCAGGGAGAATGCTATGTACGGTCATAGTCATTGAACATTCCGATTTATGCTGAAAGGATGTTCATCTGTTGTAGCCTTCAAATGTTCCTTTTGATTTGCTGCTGAACGCACAAGTTTGCTGCTGATTAATAACATAATTATAAATGATAATAATGTGTACAAGACGATTGTTATCTTTAGTTTCATTTAGTAGCAAATAGTTTATTAAGATTTTTATAGGACATATATGCTCATGTACTTCTTCATTTATAATGGCAAGACATCCTATACTTGTTCGTTAAATTTGATGCCACTTGACCTACTTAAGTGAATCAGGTTTCACTATACATGTTCTGGAAGTGTTTGAAAGGAGTACACTTTTCTACGTTTATGATTTAAGTGCTTATTTCACAAGTTTTAGTTGCTTTAAGTTGCTCCATGATGTCAACTGCTGACAATAATGCACTTTTATGCTGACAATCAGGTTGGCATCAGGTCAATAACAAGTGAAGGGCGTGAGCAAGGGAAAAGATTCGGTGTCGAGCAGTTCGAAATGAGAACATTCTCAAGAGACCGCAATTTTCTGGAAAACCTGGTCTGTCTCTGTCTCTGTCTCTGTCTCTCTCGCTCGTCTTCATCTAGCTCATGGATGTTATTTTCCTACTTTTGGTTTATATATTTATCAAACTGCAAAGTGCACTCCCTGCTTTGGAATATACTGTAGGAACAGTTTGACTTGGGGAACTCTTTGGCAAGTGATTTTTTGTTGAAAACTGAAGGCTCTTCGGAGGCTCATCCTCTTATCTTCTGCATTGTCAAACTGCATGGGGGCAGAGGAGCGTGTTTCCATTAATTACCCTCTGGATGCATTTACCATGGCCCATGGGTGAAGACGACTTTTCTAGCTATCAGCATTCTTCTCTGCAACTGACATATACATAATATGTTGCTATAAAGGAACTCTAGATTGTTGATTGGTTAGTTTAGAATATAGTTTGAGTCTCAATTTTCTTGATCTAAGCAAGGTGCATGACTGTGCTCTTGTAACCTTCACGAATCATATAATCTCTAAATTTCTATACCTGCTCCAATGATTAACAGTGAAATATTTTACTGAGAGACGGTCCCCGAACTTGTGCATGTTTTGGATTCGTGAATGACGCATCCTCGTATTTTTTTGTCTGACAGAAACTTGGAGAAGGTGTCAAGGGTGTATACATATCTATAGATGTGGATTGCCTTGATCCTGCCTTCGCTCCAGGTGTGTCTCATATCGAGCCTGGAGGTCTCTCCTTCCGTGACGTGATGAACATCCTCCACAATCTTCAAGCAGATGTAGTTGCTGCCGATGTGGTCGAGTTCAACCCCCAGCGCGACACTGTCGATGGGATGACGGCAATGGTTGCTGCTAAGCTAGTAAGAGAATTGACTGCAAAAATATCGAAATGAGTACTTTCTCCTCGTCTTGTGGTCAAACATCTGATTGTGGTACGAGAGGAAAGCTTCTAAATTGATTGCTCCAAAGAATATTACTAGTTCCCATTTCTTTTTGTCCAATTTTACTGGCAAATGATTATGTGCATTGCCATCTGCGATGATAACAGGTATAGAATCTGTTGCTTCATTTTTGTGTTAATCTTTCGCGGTACCATCCTATTTTTTCATCTGAAGATGACATAGAGAAGTATCCAATTTTTATTTACGCTTAATCAATCATGTACCTTTTCTTTTACCGTCGCGGCTGTCTGGTAGTCCTGGCGAATTTACTGCTCTGTTTTTCAACGTCTACTCTGCTCATGCCCTAGAATTTGTTGAATATATCAAAGTCACGTTACCATTTCCGTTGCCGGGAAAGCTCATTCTATCAATTTAGGGCAATCAGTAGTGACAAGAAACCAAATCACTTGTGGCAACTGTTCATGTGCTCTCTTTGTGTGGATCCTTACTGTTGATGTTCATGAACTTTTTTTTGGTCTTTAACATTTCTAAACGCTCAAAATGGTATTGATGTCCTAATACCTCCATCTCATGAGCACACTTTAATTTCATTCCACTTAAATTCAAACTAAGGTTTTGATGGCAGAATCATCAACTAGGTGTATTTTCCACGAAACCTTTACCGAAGTTCAGCTACCCCATCAGTCCCATCTCTCTTCTCCATCACTATGCTCTTGCATCGCTTCACATACATGGCGAAAACTGATAAAATCGCCAGAGGTGACATGGCAGATAGAAAGAAAAACCTATCCAAATGACCGTCGTGACGAGTTTTAGGATTTGATTACATTCATTTAAAATTTTCGGATTCAATTACACTTTCTTGATAAGTTTTAGAATTTCCAATGTACTTATGCAATAAAAGATATCATTGCTTTCTTGCATTATAAGTTTGGAAATACATAAACGACTTTGAAAATATCACTGAAGTAACATAGGATTGACATATTCAACTTCCGGCACAAATGCGATTATCATATTTCCCGACTCATTCATTTTACATGGAAAAACTTAACAGATGCATGCAATCTCAAATATTAGTTAATAAAGTCTCGACATATATATTTTCGACAAACACGATTAACATAAAAATACATCACAATTATTATTTTCTTGAGTTAATGAATATTAAATGCGTGAAAATTTATTCATTTTTAAACAAATGCATATATAATGATGAAGAAAAAAAAATACATTTGAAAACAAAAAAAAAAGGTAGGAAAAATCGAAATACAGAGTTGGAGCGGATGAAGTTGGAGTTCAGTGTTCAGTGAACACACACTCTCTCTAAAATGGTGTCGTCGTCGCTCCTTTCCCTCTCTGCAACGTTTTCGCGCCTTCACTTCATCCCGAAGCTCTCGCTCCCGCCGGCGCTGAGCTCCGTCAGGGGATCCGCCCGCCGCGATCAGCGACGAGCGCGGCTCCCTCCATCGTCGCCGCCGCCGCCGCCGCCGCCGCCTTCCGGTCCTCCGTTGGGTTCTCCTTCCTTTAGCTTCTCGACCTCGAGAACCTCCAGTTCCTCGGTTTCGTGCGGCGGAACGGCGAGCACGGACGGCGATGATTTGGTCGTCCTCGGCATCGAAACGAGCTGCGACGACACCGCGGCCGCCGTCGTGAGCTCTCTCTCGAAATGTTTTTGCTACGGAGGGGGTAGTTTTGCGGCGATTATTGGTTTTCTGATCGGTCCTTTTTTTTATTTTATTTTTGCGTTCAGGTGAGGGGCGATGGACAAATTCTAAGTCAAGTCGTGTCATCTCAGGTACATGGCTTCGTTCTGGTAGTGTCTGCTGTCTGTGGCTTCCATTATGTGTTAAGGATCCTATGATACCTGTGGAAAAATTCCTTACTTTTATCTTATTTCGTTTGTTTGATGTTGGTTTGGTTCTCGCGTTTGGGCGCTGTTAGCTTATCTCCTCTTTTCTGTTCTGCTTTGAATATAGGCAGATCATTTGCGTGCCTTAGAATGACAGTTTAAGACGAGTGTTTTGGTCGATGGTTATACAGAAGTCCAATCATCAATGAAGAATCGCAGAATTGCTCTAGATACCCAAGGGCTGCGCAAAATGGGATTATACAGTAGGTTATCTGCTGCATTTACTCAACCATCCGGCAATGACATAATATTTGAACTTCCGCACCTCTTCTTCGTTCCTTTTTTAGTGTTTTTTTATTTTTTGGGTGGGGAGGTTGGGGAAACTGAGGCACAAAAACATTTGTTGCTTGGTTTGGAGTCATTACAGTTAATGACGTTGTGACAGGGAAGTCCAAATAAATTATATCCGTCAACTGTATAACTAATGGAAGAGCTTAATAGTTTGCATCTTAATCATTGAAAAAACAGGTTTTTCATTTTCTTTTTCTGTCTCATGTACTTTTGTGGGTTGGAAATTAGGTTATCTTATTCGCGATCCAAATGTAGCTTTTCTTTTGTAATTGGCAACTAGAGCAGTGATCCGTTGCATAATGCCCAGTGCTGCTGCTTTCAAGATAGCTGGCTGTCCACCCAATGTTTTGCTGTTTACCTTATGTATGATGAAGCCTTTCTTGATTTGAGGAGTATCAGTCTTGTGTAGTGCAAATTCCTCTATGAACTTTTGTTTTCTCATGTGGACGAGTTCCTTCTCATATTAATGATATTGCTCCATAAGTGCCTGAAGTTTGGCAGAAGGATTGTTTTTTATATATTGCAAGCAATTACCTAAATGCGTACCTTCATATATCAAGGCAGATCTGCTCGTTTTATATGGAGGTGTTGCTCCCAAAATGGCGGAAGCTGCTCATGCCGAAGCTATTGACCCGGTAACTTTTTCTCATTTTGTTCTTTCTTTAACGTTTAGCATCAAAGCAATTGTCTGTTATTTGCGTTAGTTATTGCGCCCTTCTATTATAACTGTTTTAAGAGCTCCCGTAAGTTTTTTGGCCATCCCTTTCTCCTACTGATGAGCCAACAAGGTCTTATGGGCATTATATGCATTGGGAACTTCTTTTCATGTTTAAAGTTCCATTACTTCAATGCAGGTTGTTGAGAAAGCACTGAGTGAGGCTAATCTGACAGCCAGAGATTTATCTGCAGTTGCTGTTACTATCGGTCCTGGTTTAAGCCTTTGCCTTCGCGGTAATCTGATGTTTCGATTGTTAATCGTTTACTTCTACTTCACGAAGCAGAGTATCTAGTTCACTTCAGGGTTATGTAGTCCATATCTGTTATTAAGAAGCAATAGAAAATTCTGTCTGGTCTGTGCTCTCTTTTCTTTGTCTCTTTCCGTGAATCTTGGGCTGGTTTGAATTTGAAAGTATCTGCTGGTCACATTACTTTGAAACCTAAAGTGGGTCTCTGGCCGAAAATGTCTGAAGTAGAGCGTGTTAACTAGTTGGCTAAGTTTTGACTGTGGAATTGAAATTCCCTTGGTTGAGTATGATGTCCTTTTTCAAGAACACGTGGTTTGCTGATGTACACTAGCTTGAGCCTGTGGTTTTTTTGATGGTTAAATTACATATTTATGTCTTGCTTTTCTTGCATGCACCGGTCTGCAAACATAAATAGCAGCAGCTTTATGAACTGAGTTGAGGAGCTTTTGTTGTTATATTTTGACGGATTGCCAGGAAACAATTTGTAGTTCAAGGAGGTTTTGGTCAAGGAAATTATATTTTCTCTCACTGAAATCTGCATCATGCATTCCTGTTCAATGCATCATATTACGTGGTATATAGCTGCATGCTCTTTTCTTATTCTTTTCGTGGTGCAGTTGGCGTGCGAAAAGCTCGAAATATTGCTGGGCTCTTCAGCAAGCCTATTGTTGGTGTCCACCACATGGAGGCCCATGCTTTAGTTGCAAGGTAAAAAAAGAAGAGGTAACTGTTTATACTAAGTTAGGAATTTTATGTAGTTGGCAGAAACATGCATATTAGACATGTTGAAGGACAACTCAAATGTTTTCTCTTTTTCAAAGTCTACTGAATTAGTGACAGCATGCATATAGGACCATTTGAACGTTTTCTCTTCTCTGCTTTGGGGTTATGATGTTTCTTTTATTCAAGTGCACTCAAAGAAATTAAGGAGGATATGCTTAGCCATAATTAATATACTTCGCTCCTGCTGCAGGTTAGTCCAACAAGATTTGCAGTTTCCTTTCTTGGCCCTTCTCATTTCTGGTAATATCTTATTACTTTTTGTAATGTTCTTGGCATTGTACTATTGCTTTCACTTCAGTTGGGATTAAGAAAAGCTTTCTTGAATTTCGTCTAGCATGTCCCTCAAACTGTGATATAGGCATCTTGAATGGATGATTTACTTGTACCAGATATGAATTTATATTTTCTGAATGCGTAATTGATTAATATTTTATATTATCCCTGGTTTCTCTTTCTGCAAAGCTGTAACTGTGAGACTTTTTGTCTTTATACCAAAAAATGTATAGTCTACGTGGGAGATATGTGTTGCAGCCTAAATATCTCATCACTCAACCTTTTTTCTAATTGCTGGCATCAGTGGTGCGCGGGAGTTTATCATGACTGCAAATGCTCATGTTCATTGACAATGTCTTAGTTCTAAATTTCATTTATTATTTAATAGATTACGACATTGAACTTTATGTATCTACTTATCAGTGTACAGATGGCAATTTTGTAGTGTGTTTCATATTTCAATCTTTTCCTGAGTTTTAACTAAAAATGTCAAACTTCAGGGAGCAAATCAAACAATATCAACCATATCAGTTTGGTTTGGTCATGTTTCTTTTGTGCTGAACTTGTGTTTCTAATTCCTATTGTGTTGGTGTCTGGGGTGTTGGTGTTGTGCTGTCGGTAAAATTATCCAACTTTGAATTATGCATGTTCGTGTTTATTTAGTCTTTATATCCTCTATGCTGTATGGCGTTTGTACCTATAGCTGTTATAATGTAAAAGACATTCCTTGAAATACTATAGACACGTGAGCAACCAACCACTTATTTAGATATATGAGAAAACCAACCTCTTCTTTGGTGCTTTAACTAAAAGTTTTTCTGTATTTTAACTGGTCACCTGTATAAGCCCTTGTTCCAAGCTAAGATGGTTGGAGCGATTTTGTTGGAGGAAACAGTGGAAGTATGAGTCTTTTTGGTAGTACCATCTCTGTATAGTCCAGTAATATGTGGGTTCTTTTTGTCCTTTTAGATAAGAACTGTTGTTTTGTCTGTGCTTCAACATAAGCATGATGCATGAGTATGGTTATGTCATGTAACGTTGGAGTTCTGCTACAGTCGGTCATGGTTGGCCCAAAACAATCCAAAAATGAGATTGTAAAGTTTCAATCACTTGTATAATTTTTTATTCAAAGTTTTACTGCTCAAGTAGTAACATTGTGTAGCACAGCATGAAATTAAAAGTTTTAGCTTTGATTGCCTCTTGACTCCCTGTTATTTATCTCAAGCATATATAGTTCATGACTGAGTTAGAATTTGACTTCTTAATGCATTCGCTTCTATTAGCCATAACTTTAAAGAGGAAAACTGCAACTATGGTTTGTTCTTTCTATGTTATGTAGGTGGACACAATCTACTTATCCTTGCTCGGAGTGTTGGTCAATATGTGCAACTTGGCACCACAATAGATGATGCAATAGGCGAGGCATATGATAAGACAGCAAAGTGGCTAGGTCTGGATATGAGGAGGAGTGGTGGACCAGCTATAGAGCAGCTTGCCCTGGAGGGTGATGCAGACTCAGTCAAATTCTCAGTTAATATGATTTCAGCTACTGTGTATCTTCTTAGGATTGTCCTGCAATAGGGTTTCCATATACTCAATCACTTTTTTCTCTATATTTTATCTAGTTTTTCTTTTATCTTACCTTGCTGCTACTACTTTAGACGCCGATGAAGCAGCATAAAGATTGCAATTTCTCCTATGCTGGCTTGAAAACCCAAGTGAGGCTGGCAATTGAATCCAGAAAAATGTAAGTAGAACAGGTGTAAGTCTAAAATCCAGTATCTGCTATTCCATTATGGTGTGAATAAGCTTGAAGTGCTGGATTTTTCACTGCTGATATTATGTCAAAATGCGATTATGATCTACTAAAGATCAATGGTCAGAAGTATGACGATCAACTGTTGTAGATTTTAGACAACTTCAATGATTGGGATTCAGGCCTGCATGTTTGGCCTTCCTTTTTGTATCAAACTCAATGAACTTAGGGGTCAAAACAGCTAAGTTAAGATTACTTTGTTTGTACTTCTCTTATTTCTACTAAATTATTTTTAATGAGTCGAAATGAAATAAACTGTGTATCCATGAAAAAAAATGTACTATGAGAGTGGTTTTAACATACTCATTCCTTTTATTCCTTCGCCCTTCTCCCTACATGTTGGGCATTTTACGAAAACTTTGGAATGAATGGGCACCAATGGGTAATTTACTAGCTTGATGCATTATGTACGGATGGAATAGCTGATTCCAGAAATTGTGTGTGTATGTCAAGTTTTGCTTATCTTTGGAAATAACAGAAGAAAAAAGCTCTGGAGAATTGGTACTTCTGATAAAGTTCCTCTGACTGTACATCATGGATTTGAAACAGATGATGCTAGTGTACTTTATTGTTAAAGACTTCTGAAAGCAGTTTAAACAATATTGACAATGTGTGTCCTTATGTCTGTCTGCTTGATAAGAGTTACTTCAGTTAATCGACTAGTTTCTTGGATGAAGCAATAGAAACTGTGTAACTCTTTTTGTGTTCCTCTTATGGCCTTCTGGTTGATGTTTTGTGTACCATATGCAGAAATGCTCAGATTCCTATTTCTTCAGCAACTACTCAAGATAGAAGTGACCGAGCGGACATTGCTGCCTCTTTTCAGGTGACTAAAACCTGTGAGCTGCAGGGTGTTAGTTAACAAACAACCTTGTATGTATGCTTGAAATTATTTGGAATTTAAAAAACGATTGTTACATGCAGAGAGTTGCAGTTTTACACTTAGAGGAGAGGTGTGAACGTGCAATTGACTGGGCAATGGAAATGGAGCCTTCATTGAAGTATCTGGTGAAATTACTAACTTAACTTTGCATTTCTTGACTCCTCAGAGTATTTACATAAGCTTTCTGGCATTTTTTATTTGATGCATGATGTCCTATATGCCTTGTATAGGTTATTTCGGGAGGGGTTGCATCGAATAAGTATGTCAGGTCTCGGCTTGATCAGGTAGTGAAGAGAAGGAGCCTGGAACTTGTGTGTCCTCCGCCTAGCCTTTGCACTGACAATGGTAAGTCATATATTCGGGGTGGTAAGCAGCTCTTCAATGACATTCTTTTGGGTCAAAGGAGAGTGCATGTGTTAACTTGAATTATGGATAAAATATATGGCCTGTTCTTCGTTTGCACATGTATGGAGAATCTAGCTCCCTTTTGGGTTTCTATTAGGTCGCTACTTATATATATGTACGTGTGTGTGTTCTTTTGATATTGTACTTTTTGATAGGTTTTGCTTATAGCATAGGTTCATCAAAGCTTATGAATCTAATCCAAAGAAGCATGAACAAAAAGTTGATCTAGATGTTGTAAACCAGTCGAAATTGTCCGTAGACATAGTTGGCACTATCATTTGTTTATTAGGTTGGTACATAGCCCCTTGCAGGGGCCTGAAGACAATTATCTTATATGACTAGGTGTGATGATAGCTTGGACTGGCATTGAGCACTTCCGGATGGGTAGATTTGATCCTCCACCGCCAGCGGATGAACCTGATGATGCCATGGTTAGTTCGATTTTCATGTCCTCTGTTTGTTATCACTAAGCACAACTCTTTCTAGCCTGCTGGAACTTGGACTGAAAACCATGAACCACAATAGAATATAGCTGGGTGGCTTAGAAAAATATTAAAATTATGAATGTTTTGGTTAATTCTCTCCACAAGAGTTTTACCAATTTGATGAACTCTGCCCATTCCAGAAAGCTTTGGCAGCACATGTCCCTTAGTCCATCAGATAGATTGTGAAAAATCATACATTTAGATTAGACTAATATGGAAGTTGCGAAAACTGCAAATCGTTGATGTCTCTTAGTTAAACATGTATAAAGAACTTAATTCAAGTGAAATGGAGGTCATAATTCATGCGTCCTATGTCAAGAAATTTAACAAGATCATGATTGTGATAAGATATGCTTTTTTTAGTTTTATTCTATATCAAAAGACTTCTAGTACCTGACGACCAGACTTGTGAAATGGGTCTTAAAACCCATATATGACCCATTTAAAAAATAAATGGATCATAAATGGGTCAATATAACTTTGAAGAGCCCATCTTAAATGGGTCTTAAAGTTTTAAGCCTATCATAAATGGGTCTTAATGGGTTGAGTGTGGAACCCATTTCCAACCCACTCATTAAGCCCACCCCTTTTTATAAAAATATATTTTTTTAAAAATCGAATTTTTTGTATTTTTATTTTTTCTTTTCTTTTCTTTCTTTTTCTTTTTTTTTCTTTTATTTTTTTTCTCTTTCTCTTTTCAGCCGGTGGCCAGCCGCGGCAACGGCCGGCGACAGGCCACCGGCCACAGGGGAGGAACGACCTCGCCACAGGTCGGCGAGGCCTCGGGCTCGCCGGAATCAGGCGAGCTTGGCCTCGCCGGAATCGGGCTTGCTGGCCTGTGGCGAGGCTCCGGCCTTGCCAATCGGGCTTGCTGGCCTGTGGCGAGGCTCCGGCCTTGCCAATCAGGCGAGCTCGACCTCGCGAGGCCGGCGATGCCTCAACCTCATCAGATCAGCGAGCTCAAGCTTTGCCAGCCTCCGGCGAGCTCGTCCTCGCCCGTGGCCAGTGGCCGGACACCAGCTGTCGTTGTGGCTGGCCACCGGCCAAAAATAAAGGAAAAATTAAAAATTGGATTTTAAAAAAATAAAAAATATTAAAATTAATAAAATAAAAAAATAATTAAAAATTGTATTGTATGAAAATGTTTTAGTAGTATAATTTTTAAAAAAAGTCATAAGAAATAAGTTTTCCTATATTGAGTTAAATATAGAAGTGTTTTAGCAATATGGGCCGAGTTCGATATGGGTCAGGTATGGGTCGGGTCGGGTATGGGTCGGGATATTTACATTACAAATAAATGGGTCATAAACGGGTTAATGGGTCAATTTGGGTCGGACCATTTATGACCCGACCTTACTTACTCGTTTAACAGGTCTATTGACGACAAATGATAGAGCGCTTGCACTAGAAGAAACTATTCGGTCAATGGATAATTGCATGATGATGTCTGCATCTTATGTATTCAAAATATTGACAAGGAGTGATATTGTGGAGATTCATGCTTTACAGGAAAATTGACCTTGCAAAAGCACCTTCTAAATTTTCTCAATCACATAAATGAATTAGTCCCACATTTTCCTTTTAATAGATGATATATAGCAGGCTTGGTGGTTATGTCTTCCTATACTTGATTATACATAACCAAGTGGGATATTAAGAGTAGAATGTCATTGATGAGTTAGACCAGTGAATGTGCTGAGGCCCTTTGGTCCATACTGGCTTGCATGTCCCTGTGCTTGGGTTAAGGAGGAACCCCTAACTAGGCGGTAACCACTGTGGTTGGGCTAGCCAAAAAATAATTTGAAAGAGGGATATATTGTGTTAAAAGGTCACTCATTTTGTTTCAGTCGATTAAGATAATGCTGAACAGGTCATGTAACGGGGCTTCTACATGACATTGTTTATTAGATTTGGAAAGTTGACATTGGTCTCATTTTCGGTTATCAGCACTTATCACATTTGTTATTGTTTATGGTAAGATCTTTAGAATTGGAGGATGATGGACTGATGTATCCTTGTAGCAGACTTGATGTGCTTTACTTTTCGTGAATAAAATCTGCTTGTTTTACCAGCCCAATAGAAGTTATTTCTTATGAGTGTGTGCGCATGTCTATGTTCTATTTCCTCTACATTCCATCGCTGTGGAATCAAGTTGCGATGCTTCATTTCCATGCATTTCAGATATATATGCGCCTGAATGTTGTAAATCGTCCCGTATCACATTTAGATGCGCCAATCCCTTGTAGTTGCAGCCTAAGAAAGCTGATATTTATTGGTTTGTGCCACAGTATGATTTGCGACCTCGGTGGCCATTGGGGGAGGAACATGTTAAAGGAAGAAGCGAAGCTCGTTCTTTGAGAACGGCCCGGATTCATCCGTCGCTAACATCAATCATCCAAGAATCTCTACAGAAGCAGTCCTGACTTGTCTCTCCTATGATCATTTCTTCATAGCCTGGAGCTCAGTCTAGGGAATTATTGTGGTGGAGCTGCTGCCGGATGTCCGTCGTGTCGGAGAAGCATAGAGTGATACAGAGATCTAATGTTATCAGCAGCCGGAAAGAGAACTTTGTGTAGATGGGGAGAGATTAGTTGTTTCATCGGTTGGTCTGTAAAGTGTACCACAGTAAATGAAACTCGGCGCGAGTTCGATTTGCTTGATGAGTATTCCAAATGTGACTACGTTCCATTCTTTTCTCGGGTTAGTGAAACAAGTCGAGCTTTACTGCAGTCATATGTTCGCGACCATGCGAAGTCTAGCACCTTCTTTCCCTGATCCCGAATCCTTAGCTGAATTGAGAAGACCGATTGAAACTCTACGCACCGTGGCTCAAGTTTGGTTGTGTGTTCTCCTTTTCTTTTCTTTTCCCCGAAGCTAGACGCACAAAAATTTCAACATTCTATACACGTATAATCAAAACTCGGAATGGATAGGTTGTGCTTTAAAGTTTACAAGCTCGAAATTTGAGAACTTATAAAATAAGTTTCTTATCATTTCCATGATCCGTTGTAGTCTAGTTGGTTAGGATACTCGGCTCTCACCCGAGAGACCCGGGTTCAAGTCCCGGCAACGGAAATTTTTCCTTTTGCCGTTTTCTCTTTTTTTTTTTTTCGACATTATTTTTTAAATTCTTTTCCCAAAAATATATTTCTGCTTTCGCTCGTCTTCTTCGTCGTTCGCGTTCCCTCTCTTACTCCCCTCTGCGAAGGCCAGTCCCCTAGAATCATCTACTCCTACTACCAGCATCGCTCTCTCTCTCTCTCTCTCTCTCTCATGGCGACGGCGGTCGAAGCGAAGGCGAAGGAAGAAGATTCAGCCGCTCCGCCCATCGACGGCGACGGCGACGGCGACGACGACGAGCACGGCTCCAAGGAGCGGGTGCTCCAGAAGTACTTCCTCCAGGAATGGCAGCTCGTCAAGTCCCTCCTCGACGGCATCGTCTCCCGCGGCCGCGTCTCCGATTCCTCCTCCGTCCACAGGATCCGATCCATCGTAACTTCCTCTCTCCCTCTCTCTCTCTCTCTCTGCGCTCTTTTCCTGTTCGTGCTAGTTTCGGCTACCGCGCGCCGGTGTGGAGCGTTTTCCTTTCTGTGTGGCGAATGTGCGGTCCTGATTCGCATTTCGGTTTTGAGCGGATCCTCGCTTGTTCTAATCGAGAAGCAAAAGTAGAAGATGAGACTGATCTAAATCGAAGATGAGTGAGGAAGGATTTTTACTGTAGTTTGAGTCTCAATAGCAAATGCTGGCCATGAGATCGTTTAGTGAATGCTTGGGAGTCGAGTCTGTACCGAACTGCATCCTGCGGAAATGTGCTCGGAAGAAGTAGGAGAAAAGCGCAAGACCTCGTCCTTTAGGAGTCTGAATGGGTTCTCCGCTGTTCTCCACCCTGTTCCGCTAATCGTGGACTTCTATGGGTGCATTCTTTGTTTGCTAATTGTGTTATTCTGGAAGAAAAATGTAACCTTTTTGGGCGCATGAAAATGGAGTAACCTCTTTAAGAAAGTTTTTCTGTCCTCTTTACCATGGTTTTGTGGTCATGGGAGTTGGGACTTCTGATTGCGTCGTGAGCAAAATTAGTCTGATAGATGGTTGGTGCTGCCGACATTCCTTTCAAGCATTTAATGATGCTTTTTTCGCACCCTAAAATTGTCTGAAAGATCTGTTGTCGCCTACTTTTGTTTAATCTTCTAACAGTGCACATAAGTCAAAGAATTGTCAAAATATTAGATCATCATAGTCTGATAAGTTGCTCTTTCTGGCTGGTCTCTTGGTGGAGGATAAAGAAAATAACTAGGGAAGTTACGTGTGCAGATGCATGAATATATCAGAACCTCTACTGTGCTGTACATTGAAATAGTACCTTTCTTCCTGTAACATGTGTGACTGCTCAAGCTTTTGACTTCTCTGGTTTTTCTTATCTGCTGGATCTTTTGCACTCTGGTTTTAGTGTTCAAGTACAAGCTTTTGCATTTGTCTCAGCATATTCTCGTTAGGAATGCCTTGCCTTGTTGGAAGGATATGTTTTGAAATATGGTAAACTTTAATCTTATGCATGCAGATGGACAAGTATCAAGAACAGGGTCAGCTTATAGAACCTTATTTGGAGAGCATTATTTCACCCCTGATGTTCATTATTCGCTCCAGAACAATTGAATTAGGAGCATCTGATGAAATTCTCGATATAATCAGGCCCATATGCATAATCATATATTCCCTTGTCACTGTATGTGGTTACAAGGCTGTGATCAAGTTCTTCCCACATCAAGTTTCTGATTTGGAACTTGCGGTATCTCTTTTGGAGAAGTGCCATGACACAAACTCGGTAACCTCACTGCGACTCGAAAGTACTGGTGAAATGGAAGCAAAATGTGTGATTCTTTTGTGGCTGTCTATTCTTGTCTTGGTTCCCTTCGACATTGCTTCTGTTGACTCAAGTGTTGCCTGCAATAATGAGCTGGGAGAGCTTGAGCCTGCCCCTTTGGTGTCAAGAGTACTGGGATTCTGTAAGGACTACCTTTCAAGTGCTGGTCCCATGCGAACCATATCTGGATTGCTGCTATCAAGACTTCTAACACGTCCAGACATGCCAAAAGCATTTAGCAGGTTACTCTCTTCATGGTAGTTCTGTTATGTTGCTGAATCAGGAATAGAAGGAACAGAAAACTCCAAAATTGCCCTACTTCCTAAGTGATTTTTTGTTTTACCTTTTTTCCTTATTGTTCTTTTGCAAAGTTTTCTGGAAGGGGAATTGCTTGAGAAAGTCTCTTCCGAGGTACTTCCGTTTGAAATTGTCTCAATGTTCATTGAATCGTCCAACTTCAATTTTTTAATGTGACTTGGCTCAAAGATATCTTGTTTTTCTATTTTGTTTTATCTGTGTCTGTCAGTTTATATGCCCCTAGTTATTTTTATTTCCATATTCATCTTCAGATTTATTGACTGGACACATGAAGTGCTCTCTTCCAGTAAAGATGATGGGATGGGTCACTTCCAGTTACTGGGAGTAGTGGAAGCTCTGGCAGCCCTTTTCAAGGTACTTTTGTCACATCAATTCGACGTGTTGGTTAATAAGTTTTTGACTCACAGTGTACTTGTTCATTCCTGGAGCCTCTCTCTCTCTGTGGATTACCATGATAAAGTTACTGTTTATTTATATGATCCGTTCTTCTGGTTTATCGATATATTGGTGAGATTTTTTGCACATTAGCTGGTTATCTCTGACTTTGGGATACAATATCATTGACGAGGCATGACCTTTACTTTTGCCGTCTAGATGCTCCTCTTCCCTTTAATAATTCTCTTATGCCTTTGTTTTCTTTTATTTTTTCTCATGTCCCATTTTGGCCAGGCAGGTAGTCGGAATCTCTTACTTGATATAGTCCCTAGCATGTGGAATGACATCTCAAGATTAGGCAAATCTGGCACTGCTGCCCAGAGTCCTTTACTTCGTAAATTTTTGGTGAAGTTGAGTCAGCGGATTGGCCTCACTTGTCTTCCTTTTCGATTACCATCATGGCGGTATATGGTTAGTACATGAAGGCTTTCATATGTCTATTTTACAAACTTATTCCCAAGATCATATACCAAGTTTCCAATGTACCTTTGCCCTGTGTGCTTAATGTAGTGCTAATGCTAATGCAAACATCATCCAAGAAAACTGCTTGACTGATCTCAACCCAAGTGTATGCTTTGTGCCATGTAGTACGTGTATTGGGCGTCTTTTTAAAAGTGGGGTCAGTAACTGTTTAGAACGAATTTCTTTTTTTGTATAAAAAATTCGTACTGTTGCACCGAAAATTCAAGGTTATTCTCAGGTGATGTCCTTGTGTAGATTACACTTGTAGGCATTTATCAGAGATCTTTTGTTCTCTTCGCACATACTTTGTTCTTGTATTTTCTAATTGCAATTTTAGTTGAAAATGCACAGTTGCATCGTACATTGGACATATTGGCTTGGTTTAATCTTTGCTAACATTTATCAGATTTGCTAGAGCACTTGCCTCTGTAGAATAATTCTGATTTCTGATACAACATGCAGATTGGCAGGAGATGACAGTATAATTTTGCGTTAATGATGGTAGATTTCTTGCTAGGCTTACAACTTAGCATCTTAATAACTTGACCCCAATATTATTTGAATAAGGTTTGATTAGGTATGTGCAGAAGTCAAACTACGGTAAGGTTGTGCATCACATAAGGTGTTATTAGATACTTTCAATAGTTGGTTCAGGTCTCTGTGTTCTTCTAGTGACCTGTTATTTGGATGGCTTATTTAATGACAGAAAACAATGAGGTAAGATTCTATGCGTTTGTGCTGTTATCCCAATATGCTTAATGGGTTATATCTCAAAAGTTCGAAGTGCTTTTGTTACCCAGAGCTTTTTGTGGACATTTGAATTTCTTGGTTGGATTTTCTGTGGATAACTTTGTATTTAGTTTGAGAAAGTACAAAAAATATTTTTCATAAAGCTCTGCAAGTCATGAGGGTTAAATATGAATTTGTATACTTTTTCTGACTTAAATTTCTACGTATTCCATTTGGTTACACTACTTATTTGACTAGTTAGTAGTGAAATTTTGATGATGTTGTTTGTACTGCGGTCGAACTAAACTTTCTCATGTTGTTTTTAGATTACAGTTACTAAAAGTAGGTTTGCTGTCTTTTTCTAGGTCATCAGACTGACCAATTTTTCAAAAAGCTTATCTAATAGCTATTTTTCTGCCTCTTCCCTATGCCTAGCAGAGTAGAACAAGGTCACTTGGGGAAAATGTCTCAAGTGCCTCCCAGAAGTTGGACCAACCTGATGCGGATTGTGCAACCTCAGGAGTTAATTCGCAGTGCATGCAGGATGATGAGGTGGATGTCCCAGAAATCATAGAAGAGATCTTAGAAGTTTTGCTTTCTAGGTTGAGAGATACGGTATGTCTGATGGGCAGACTTCTTTTGCACATAATAAGATGCACAGCTGAAGAGATTAGATTTTACCTTATCAAAAGACTAAATATGAGAATCACTGTTCTAAATTTAGATTTCCACTTGTGCCAAGGAAAAGAATCATTTGTATTATTTACCAAAAACCCTGATGAGGTTTGCATAGTAATTTGAGTAGAAAAATGTATGAGCAAAAATCCAGTCATTGCTATAAATCGTTTAGTGTGATAATCTATCTGGTATTATATTACTGTCCATTATGGCCAATAATCCATTGGATAGTTAGCTTATTCCCTT